CATGGATTGGAACTCGCTGTCTATATTATTTTCTGCGTTGCATTTTATTTGCCTACTAGTCCTCAGTTGCAGATATCTGTTGTTTAATTTTGTAAGCGTCATAAATGAAATTATACGATATTTCCCACCGTATAATGGTGCCACAGATTTTCTGGAAAAAAATACGGCTGAAGAAGCTTTCCTTGTCTATTATGAATTACTGACGAAACGCACACCAAATGAGATTTTAAAAATCCCAGAATCGTGGTTTCTGCTCTTTAATGATTTATGTATGCATGACGACTGGATCCTCGAAGGATTGATTGATCGAAAAATGCAACAAAAGGCGATTTCGAGTGATTAATGTACCGCAGAGCCAACAGAAACAAGCATTCAGTATCACGGCTCAAGCCGACAAAATCCAAGCCGTGCTGTGCCTTCGCAATTTTCATGGTTCATTTAGAGTGATTTTGCAGTCATAGTGCACAATTAATCAAGCAGTAAGTCACGAAGCCCAAAAAATCGGAAAAAAACATATTTTGCCTACTAAGTTTTTAACTCCTAAATCCAGGTACGTTACCATAAATATGTTAATCTTCTCCATTTCTGGTGGATCCCTCGCAGTGCGATAATTACGAGGGCCGTCCAGGCTCCGGCTCTTGACGTGACCTTAACTCTTCGCGTGTGTGTGTAAGGCACCCTCACCTTCTTTACAGTTTTATAGTCGGAATTTTATGGAACTCCCACTATGCTAATAAAAATTTCAAGTGAGTTTTTAAAAAGAAACGATGGTTTTTGCCATTGGATCGCCACTTATCCAATAGCGTGAGTTTGCGTCTCCTGTGACCTCTTGGTTGCCGCTGTTATCCTGCTGGATCGATTAATATGGATTCCCTACATCAGTGGTGATGAGCACTGCTTATATTATTGAACCTATACATCCAAAATCTTAAATTGTGGAAATTTAGTCAAAAATTAGAGAACATGATTTCGCAGTCGAATGGGCCTTCACAAATTATTCTATTATAACAGAATATACATTTACAATACAATTGGTTTTCCAAAATCTTAAAATGTGGAAACTAACTTAAAAAATTGAAAACTATTAAAAATTTTCATTGGCATAGTGGGAGCTCCATAAAGTTCCGATTATAAAACTGGAAAGAAGGAGAGGGTGCCTTACCATGCGCGAAGAGTTGAGGTCAAGTCAAAAGCCGGAGCCTGATTGGCCCTCGTAATTATCACACTACGAGGGATCCACCAGAAATGGAGAACATTAATATATTTCATGGTAACGTACCTGGATTTAGG